ACAGCAGCAGCCTTGGGCGTTTGGTTGCTTTCTTGGCCTCGCGGAACACGCGATGCAGAGTGGCTGCGAACTGCTCTGACGAAGCACTTGGCACACACACACACACGGCACTTCTTCTTTCCCAGTGTGAGCCGAGAGCGCCTGGAAAGAAATCCCTTCATGATGAAACAGGACTAGGCAGCTGTTCATGCCACAGCCGGATGAGAAACACAAAAGCAAACTCCTTCGTCATCGGACCAAAAAAAAAAAAAAAGTTTTACAGAAGTGGTTTACTGTCTTTCAATTCCTTTGTGTTTTTAGCGCAACAAGTTGCACTGGTACTGCCGCCACCCGACTACGTATGCTCTCTTGTGTTTTGACTTGTCTGAATGCGTATTTGCATTCGTACCGAAACCCAATACATTGGAGAGCATTACTCGGGACGGAAGCGTCGGGCAGCCAGAATAGTCATACGGATATTGTCTAACCGGTTCCTTCTCCAGAGAATTGTTTGGTAGTTAACACGTAGTCAAAAACTTTCTCGAAAATATCCCCTTTTGACTGGGGGATTACTGTTCGGGAGCCCAAGAACTTGTGGAATAAGGTATCATTTCCTTGTGCCTAGCATTCCATCCGCTTGGAATGCCAGACTCAGGGCACGTCTGGTCGAACAAGGTTGATCTATTCACAACAGCCCTTGCCTTTCCCGGACACACAAATCTCAGACCAATAATGCAAAAAAGACGCTTTCGAAAAAAAAAAAAAAAGGGAACTTATTACACGTACTCTTGTGTCATCACCAGAAACCTTCATTGCTTGCAGCGAAACTGCAGATCCCGAACCGTATCCAACTTTCAAAGTCAGGTGTTCAATTTAGAAACAAATGTACCTGATACCAGAAACAGGTGCCACAGCACAATAACAATCTACTACGATTCAGGGTATCAGATACGTACTGAAGGAGCGTGAATTGTATTAATGGATCGTCTCGTCGACGATGCAGATCTAGCCTTCTGCGGTGGTTACTCTGGTCCCCCTGCAACGAACATCTTTTGACGACCCGCCTGTGCCCTTGGTTGGACAGCGCTGAAGGTCCTGCCCTGGCGCTGCGGCCGCCCCTACAATACATGCCTATGCGCCCAAAACAAAACAAAAAAAAAAGAGCAACTCCGTACTCCGTACAAAGTAGGTTTATCGGCAGCATCATGCGCCGGGGGTGCAACGCCACCCAATCACGAGCTCACTAATAAAAAAAACCGCTGGGTCCTGGCGCAGGATCATCGCCGCACTTGAACGCGGTCTGAGTGGCTAAAGACGGGGGGGTTCCCACGCCACCCGCTACGGAAAGACTAGCCGGCAATAATTGAACCAAACACAAAAAAGGTGCATTTTCAACTTTGAAGGTGATTGTCAAAGATGTGCAGCGCCAGCCCAGTCACGAACTTGCTTGCTTGCCTGCTATGACGCTCATCGTGATGTTGCAAGTTTGGCTAGCCCCCGCGCATCACTCTGCCTTGCTTGGAAACTACAACAAGAACTGGTCGATGATAACGGATAGACAAAAAGCTTATTATGATAGACTCCTTCTTACATGATACCAGAGACTAAAAAGAGCACATTATGTAGATCAAACTGGACCCCAACCTCTAAAGAGATGAGGAGACATGGAACAAGCTCAGAAGACCATATTACGGGATAGTCCTTGTTCCCCCGTAGCGAACAAGCACAGCATGAACCCCCCCTTTACTAGCGACCCAGCTTGTAACAGGCTTATTAACACGTAAATTACTGGGAAATGAACCGTCACAGCGTATTAAACAGGGCCCCGGACGGTTGTAGTCAGCGGTTACGGCACACGAGACACGGGCGCTTCTCCTCAATACGCAAATCGAAAAGTTGCCCGTAATGAGTCGTCAGGGATGGGCTGCGTGGCCGGGTGCTATTTTCAGAATCACTGCACAGCTGCAATGTAATTCCCCCCCTGTAAATACCAGTAGAACTTCTCTAGCGCCCCAAGTCTGGTGATATGCACGCAGTGGCGTCGACGGGCACCACCAAAAAGAGAAACCTGCAGCTCGGCTGTGCCTCCTGATTGGAGCCTTCGCGCCCAGTGGGTTGGCTTTGCGTGCTCGACAAAATATCCGGAACAACTTCGAGAGCCTCACCGCAGCGGGCGCCCGTGTCAACAAAGCTAGTGCCCGTAACTACACAAACGGGGTAATCCCATGTTCATTTGCCCTCTCCAGCCCCGGCGCAACCGCCCGACGCCTCCGTGACCGACCACCGCCTCAATCCCCGGAGGCCAGGTGCCCTCCCCCCCGTCCCGTGATAATGGCCATGGAACCGCTATGTATGCAAGAGTTTTGTAATTACAGCGCATGTGTCACTAATCAGGATGAGCCAATCAAGTTAAGCCAGGTGATGGATGCGCTGTTCAGGGACCCTGCAGACAATGCATTACCTGGCCCGCTGTGGATGAAAAAAAGTTGTCTTGTTTAACCGCCGTTTCGCAACCTCTTTTCTGAAATGATTTGATGTACTTTAGCATCTACAGCCGAGTCTGTTTGGGGGAAAAAAAGAATAGCGGCAGATACGAGATGAGCCTCTTGTTAGTGCAATCATGATCGTCTCATCATGCACACACGCCTCAAACTCAAAAAAGCCCCATCACAGCTCGATATCAGTATCAGATCTCAGACGTCAGTGTGCCCAGCAGCCATGAAGAAAGATATA